TATGAACCACTGAGGGAACAGAGTTTAAGTGAAATGAGAGTTCAACTTGGAGATCTGCAAATTTTAGTTATTGACGAAATTTCAATGGTGTACAAAAGATTATTATACTATGTCCATGAAAGACTTGTACAGATTAAGAAGTGTAAAGAACCATTTGGAGGAGTGTCAGTGATTGCCGTGGGAGATTTTTACCAGCTGCCTCCTGTTAAACAGCGCAAAGACGAAAGACTGTATAAAAACAATGTTCTTTATCCTGTAGATTATTGGCTTGACTTCTTCAAAGTAGTGGAGTTGACAAAAATTATGAGACAACGTGAGGACATCCCATTTGCGACAGCACTTAATTCACTTCGGAGTAGAGTAATAAAACAACAACTGGAAGAAGAAACAAAATCTATTTTGAATGAATGTGTAAGGGAAGGACCAGTAGATGTCCTCCATGTTTATGCAACAAATGAGGAAGTCAATGCCTTTAACTTAACAATGCTTAAGAGAACCTGTGAGGACCTTGTTGAAATTGATGCGCAAGACTTTACAAAAGATCGAACAACAGGAATGCTAAGCTTAAAAAGTAAGCCAACTACAAGGCCCAAAACAGACAATCTTTCTAGCAGTTTGTTAATGGGTGTTGGTGCACGAGTCATGCTTACACGAAACTGCAATGTAGATGATGGCCTTGTAAATGGAGTTATGGGACATGTTTCACATTTTGTATATAGTGAAAAACACGTGGAAAAAACTATTGTTGCAATAGGAGTAATATTTGACAATATCAATGTTGGTAAGAAGTCCGGAAGGAGAACAAAAGATGGAAACGTTGTTCTGATTGAAAGAGTTCAAGAGGAACTACTAGAACAAAAAACAAAGAATGTTGTAAGACACCAGTTTCCATTACGATTGTCTTGGGCGTGCACAGCTCACAAAGTACAAGGAATGACAGTTGACAAATTTGTAGTAAATTTAGACAAAACATTCTCTCCTGGACAAGGATATGTGGCACTGAGCAGAGTAACATCGAAAGGAGGCTTGTTTATTGAAACAAACAATGCAGAATCGTTGCAGAACAAAATATACGCTGACCCAGAAGTCAAAGCAGGTTTGCTAGGGATGCCACAATTGACACTACCAAGCTTTGATACATTAGACCAAGGCATTATAATCTTCCTTCACAACATTCAGAGTCTCAATAAACATTTTGTATGTCTACAAAAAGATGTTCGATTCAGGAATGCAGATATTATTTGCATAACAGAAACATGGTTGAGATCTGGACAAAATGTCAGTGCATTCGAAATGAATGGGTTTCATTTTTACCAAGCTGCTAGAGGAGATTTATACGATGACAGCAATGCTCAAACTTTACAGTTGCGTGGATCAAAGGGTGGAGGTGTGGCTGTTTACGTTAAAGAAACGGAACAGGAAAATATTGTCCATTCACTTGATGTAAAGAATATCGAAGGCATATGTGTGAAATGTGTTTCAAAGGAATTGGTAGTTTTGACTATCTATCGCCCAAACTCTTTGGATATTGCACAGTTTTTAATACAATTTGAAAAGGCGATTGCACTTTACAAATCAGTATTTAAGTTCGTTGTTTGTCTTGGGGACTTCAATGAGGATGCCAGATATGTAGGGTCTATTCAGAATTTTATGATTCAGCAAGGATTTAGGCAAATAGTTGATTTTAATACAACGGAAGGGGCAACTATCCTTGACCATGTGTATTTGTCAACATCTTTACAGGCAAAAGTGGAAAAAGTTCCAACATTTTACAGTTACCACGATGCCTTAATGGTAACTCTTTTAACAAGCACAATGAATTATTCATAGAATCGGTTCCTGATGTCTGTCTGGAATGTTTTTAAATATTAACATTTTAATGGGTTTGAATAAGCGAAAATTTTATTTAGAATTCAACTAGAACGAAATGTTTTAAAAGTTTTCATACGTATAACTAGCCCCACACTTGTGACACAACTTGTTACATACTATACTGTTTGTTGTTATTTTGAGCTTAAATATGATAAACACAATGGTATGCAAACAGAAATATATGGAGATAACCAAAAGTATTCAAGCTCGAAAAATAGGCTCACAAATATCTCCCAAAACTTGACAAATTTTCTATCATATCTGCTTACCAGTAAACATTTTAAGACATATAGAAGAAGAGTTGTTTAGAAATATGAGATCTTTCATTTGATTTGGATAAAAAGGGCTTGATCACTCGAATAAGGGGCCAAGAGGGACCAAAGGATTTTCCTGTATAACTCTATACACATCTTTTTTGTTATAAATAACTTGGTTAATCTTGATAATATGCAACAACATATTGTAAAAATAGGATCATATTTTACTTGATTAGACGCCATTAAAGGTACTTAGACACAGATTTGAAGTTAATATTTTCTCTACAATTAATATTTATCATTTATACGCATGCAACAAGATTGCCACATTTCCTAAGGATTAAGAATAAAATTAATATGTGAAAGTGCAAGGATGTGTCAATCAAACCCGCCCAAACATTTGAAATTTTAATATTTTTCATATGAAATAAGATTTTTAATTAATTTTTGTGTGACATGCTATTAAAATATATATGTCGTAATATTATAGAAAAAATAACTTCAAATATGTGTTCAAGTACCTTTAAGGGCCAATATGCTAAAATTCTTTGATTCTTTTTACTTCCAAAGGGGAAAATTTTTGAAAAGCTGTATCGAGTAAAATTATGTTCAAAATCGTATTTTAAACAAAATACAACCATTCCTTTCTTCTTTTTTTATACAAAAAAAAAACCCGTCAAATTAAGGACTTGAGGGACCGGTCCCTATAGATGTCTATCCTGTAAAGCTTGAAAAGGAAAAGAAATTTCTAAATAGCTGTTGCTAAAAAAAACGTTTTAAAGGTACTTGGACACAGATTTGAAGTTAATATTTTCTGTATAATATCACGAATTATATATTTTAATAGCATTTCACACAAAAATTAATTTAAAATCTTACTTTATTCAAAAGTTATTAAAACTTTAAATTTTCTGGCGGGTTTGATTGACACATCCTTACACTTTCACAAATTTTAACTTTATTCTTAATCCTTAGGAAAAGTGGTAATCCTGTTGTGTATTAATGAGAAATATTAAAATTTATAGTAAGATAAATAATTTTATTCAGAGTAGAAACGTTAAAAAGCAAAACTCGTATACAAGAATCGTCATTCCGAACTAAGAGTTGCGTACACAGTTTAGCAAATCGAGCACACTCGTGTTATGTATACAGTTTTTTGTAAACAGGCAAGAGCTCTGTTTTTGTTTTGTGTTTACGATTCACTGGGTGCGTTGAATCGCCAAAGTCTGTTCTCCACAACTGCACGGACTGACAATAAATTGTATATTTGTTTTGCTTTCGAACATGTCTACTCTGAATTTTCTGGATTATAGTATTAACATTTTTCATTAATACACAACAAGATTGCCATTTTTCATAAGGATTAAGAACAAAGTTTAAATTTGTGAAAGTGCAAAGATGTGTCAATCAAACCCGCCAAAAGATTTAAAGGTTTAATAACTGTTAAATGAAATAAGATTTTTAATTAATTTTTGTGTGAAATGCTATTAAAATATATAAGTCTTAATATTATAGAGAAAATAATTCAAAATATGAACTTCAAATCTGTGTCCAAGTACCTTTAAATCAATAGCCTTCTCATTTGACATAAAGGTAAACGTTCTGCATGACCCCTCAAGTACGGGGGCAAGATGGACCAACATAAGTTCGTCTTTGGCTGTTTTATAAATTTATATAAATCTAAAATTTAAAATAAATGAGAGAACTCTTGAAATCATGATCTTTGAACAAAGATCAGAGTCAAAATCATATCTCATCTTATCGAAAAATCGGACGGAAGACCTACTCGTTGCTCGCAACGAGATCGTATCTAGTTATTATTTTTCTTCTTCTTCTTCCTGGGTACTTTTTTGTCCGGGAATGATCTTGTAAACTGTTCGTCCGAGGTAGGTAAAACCTTTTTAGGGTAAGTAGACAAGTTATGCAGATTTGCGGAATCAAGATCATTTTGCGCGCACGTGCTTGCAAGAGCGCGCACGTGCAACACTTGAAATAACCAATATAATAGATATAGTCGGAACTTTTCTATTTTTTGATAAAATGCTTTGAAACTCATAATGTAAGGATACATTAGTAGTATAGACAAGATGGCATGGTCAAAATAGCAAGATCTCACGCGCATGCACGTGCGCTTTGCTCTGATTGGCTGAAACTAAAGTCTCAATATCTTTCTTGTTTCTTGTCATAATCTTTTGAAATTTTGAACATGGTCCTACATTATGAAGATCTACAGCATGGTATATTAAAATTTTAATAAAAGCATGCGCATGCACACGTGCTGTAATCTGATTGGCTAAAACTTTAAATGGCTATATCTCCTTTGTTTTTTGACAAAATGCTTTGAAATTTAAAACATAGTCATGCATTACGATATCCTAAAATATGATATAGAAAATATTCATGAAATCACGCGCATGCACGTGTGCTGCAATCTGATTGGCTGAAACTTCAAATGGCTATAACTCTCTTGTTTTTCAACCAAACAGGATGAGATTTAGAACTTGGATAAATATAAGGGACTCCTACAAGAAGGTGTAGTCATTATGCACGTGCTTGCACGTGCGTGCACTTGAAATGAGTAAAATAAAAAATACACTCGAATGAGTGCATTTTTTAATACTTTTGGATTAAATGCTTTGATATCATTAAAATTTAAGATAGTGTACACAAGATAATATGGTCGTTACGCACATGAACACGCGTGCAATGCCTATTTTTTAAATATATTTTGTATTTTTCTTGGAAGACCTTGATTAAGTCTAAATTCCATAAAGTATTTCTTATTTAATAGAGATAACAGGGAATATGGCACCAAAAGGGAGTTGGGGAGCGTTTGGGGAACATCTGTAACGGTCCCCGTTACAATTAGCACTAGTTTTTAAGTTGTCTCGAAGCTAGTTGAGTTGTGAAGTTAGAGAGCTCAGTAGAGGACAGATAACTCTGGAACTCTTTAACAAGGTCACTGAGATAGGCAATATAATCATCAAATGTCTTCTCTTGGCTCTTTAATTTCTCCAGTAATGACTTCTCTATTTGGTTTAATTCTTCCATATTTTCTGAGAGTACTGTGTCCACCATGTTTTTGAGAGACTCGGCTTCAGCCTTCATGGATGTCCGTATGCTGTCCATGATCTGTTTAACTTCTGTGGTATCTTCCCGAACTTCTCTCTGTAAATCCTGTGATGTAGGAACAAAGTAGTTATGGATTTTAGAGAGCTCCTTTTGGCAAAGTTCAAATGTCTGTGTATATATAGTTTCTAAATCAATAAAATGATGCCCCCAGTGCTCTTGCATTGTTGAACACTTTGAACATATAGGAATGTTACATTCTTCACATAGAATATCCATTTCTTTGGTGGGGTGGATCTTGCATTTTATCACAGGGAGTTGTCGTCTACGTTGCTGATAAAGGACCACTTCATGATTCTTGTTTTCTGGAATCTTTAGATGTTGGTCTCTGCATTGTTCACACATCTGTTGATGACAGGAATTGCAGTAATTAAAATTCACAATTTCTCTCACAATCTTCAAAACCACACTCTAGAAAGTGTTGAGCAGTGCCTGGAATTTTTGATTTTGAAAGTGCCATCTGAAATAAAGATAGAGAAGCTCTTTACATAGGTATAGAAACTCAAATTATATAATTATCATTTTATGCTGCACTGTACGTAAACAATATTTAGTCTGACAAAACAGCTTTTTTTGTCCCCCGCTTTCGCGAAAGCGAGGGGACATTAAATCTCATTCGTCTGTCCGTCTGTCTAGCTGTCCGTCAGTCTGTCTAGCTGTCCGTCCGTCACAAAAACTTTAAACTTGCCCATATCTTTTGATTTAGTGGAGCTATGACTTTCATATTTCACATGTGTAATCCTTGTGACAAGACCTTTCTTTCGGTACCACCAAATTTGACCTTTTGACCTTGACCTTGGAGTTTGACCCACTTTAACACAAAAATTCTAAACTTTTATTTTGGCCATTTTTGAATGGTAGGTACTAGGACTTTTATATTTCACAAATGTATTCTTTGTGGCAAGACCTTTCATTGGATACCAACAACTTTGACCTTTTGACCTTGACCTTGGAGATTTACGTACTTATGAAAAAACTTTAACCTTGACGATAACTTTTGAATGGTAAGGGCTAGGGCTTTTATACTTCCCATATGTAATCCTTGTGAGAAGACCTTTCATTGGATACCATGAATTTTAACCCTTTGACCTTGACTTTGGAGTTGACCTGCTTTTTAAAAACTTTAACTTTCGAACGGTTAGCGTTAATGTTTTCATCGTCCACATAGGTATTACTTGTGGCAAGACCTTTCTTAAGAAACCAACAACTCAGACCCTTTCACCTTCGAGTTTGAACTACCTTTCAAAAATTTATCCTCGACTATAACTTTTGAACAGGTGGTGCTAAGGATTTTGTATTTCACAATCGTATTTCTTGTGAGAAAAACCCTACTTTGGGTAATAATATATTTAATTTGCACTTAAGAAAAGTTTAATCTTCGTTTTTTTGCCATACGGGGTCATCAGTGTTTCACAAACACATATTGTTCCTTATATTGAAAAGAGATAGGGCTTTCATATTTGACATGTGCATTACCTTTGACAAAATGTCTCTGAGCATGCTATGATTTTTTACCCCTTGACCTTGACCTTCACGATTGACCTTAGGGTGTTCATATTAGACACAATATGTCATAAAAAATAACATCTCACCCAAAGTCACCGAAAGCGGGGGACCACAATTCTTAGAATTTGCTTGTTCTGTCATAATGCTTATGTATGTCATATTTGGGAATTAGATTGAACAACTTGAAAAATAAAATGCTAATTTTCTTGAGAAGACTTCAAATTACATTAGATTTGTATACAGTATTACATGTATTATATTACATGAAGTGATATAGTTTCAGCGTTTCAAAAAATATTTCTGGTTGCATTTTCAGATCAAATCCAAAGACTGTTTTCTGAAAAGAAATAAAGTCGTTTACCATGCATAGTAGTCTTCTATACTTACATTGGTTTGAATTACCTCTAAATACGTTTGTCAACAAAATGAAACGTCAGAGCGAGAGATTTGTTACCTGTAAACTGTGTAATTTACTTCCTGGTTAGAGAAATAAAAATAGATCTATTTAAATCACCTGACCAAAAATCATGACCACATGTACCTGCTTTTTTCAATATAGGCGTCGGTCAGGAAGGGGGCTAAACCAACCAAAAAAAGTTTGAGCGCAATTTTACAATGCCATTATGTCTACCTTCGAAAAAGATACATCCTTCCCCCTTTCTTGATTAACGCATTGGCGTCGGAAGCAAATTGAAAGGTCGGGGAGGAGGGTTTAATTCAATTGAAAAACAGACTATTTATCAAACATCTTATCGTTTGTCATCTTGAACATGAGTTAAGGCAATGGAATGGAACGATGGACCATTCATGTCGAAAGCTATGTTATAGTATAAGAAAATGATCTTTTTTAGGTTAGAATTTCGGATTAGACCGTTTAAATCGGGGCCCCGTGTCGCAGTAGGTGTTGGCACGAAAAAAATCCCTTGCCGTTCAAATGGCCATGAGTGCCGAGTATAGGACAAAATTTGTAGCTCTCCATCTGCAAGTGGTGGCGTCTCCAAATTTTCATGAGGGGTGTTAAACAACAGAAAAACGAATAAAAAAATCCTCTTTCATAAGATTTGTTTTTTAAATTATGGACTTTTTACATCAAGTATTCATAATTGTTAGATGAAATGTCAAAGAAAATTTTATTATAATCAAGATTCAATTTTCACCTACAGGTTTGTCGCACTGTAGGCTTGCTTTGCCCCCCCCCCCCCATCTTCTTTGTCGATGTACATATATTCAGAAAAATGTTTTAAATTTTAACTCCCTATCTGAATGCACATCTTTGGAAAATTCAAACCGTGGGGGATAGAGTATGCCTTTCTCTAATATTGCAGTAATTTTTTTCAGGAATTTGCCCATGTATGACCGAACGGTAACTAATAGTGTGGAGAGGGCCTGCAGCATCCAAATAAAAGTACCGCAGAAGACTGTTCTTAGAAAATGTCTAGGACCCTCCCCTTGTACATGTATTATGGACATGCAAAAAGTTCGGATCCTATACAGAGTGATAGGGTACCAGAAAGGAGTGACAGGCAAGAGGATGAAAATTGGTTAATTTCAGTTTCTAAATCCACACAAAATATCTTTTCCATAGCAGTCATTTTGCTTTGAGTTCGTCCCTGTGTCAAATTGTGTGATTTAATGTTTATTATGCATGTACATGTACCTTATATAAATAGATCCACCTCTTTTCACAATTTCCAAACCCTCCCCAATATTTTGTAATCTGCTTCAGACACATTAATAAGTGCTGAAAATTCCAGGAGGGGATAACGGAGGCACTTGCACGCCGTAATTGTAGCTAAGCGCTTCTCCCACCAGCTGAGAAATAGCTAGCCTAAGGGCTTTGGAGTGAGTTTGGGCAACTTTCTTTCATTTTATTTTTCCTTGTATACGTTTCCTTGCAAATATCTTGCCATTTTTATGGCTCCTCTACTCTTAAAAATCGATGTCACATACCTGTAAGTGTTACATATACAAACAATTTAAGTAACCAGTGAGTACATACATGCATGTACTTTGTTATCCATACTGTAGACAATGCTTGTGTGTTAAATTAAGTCATTTTCACAAAATGAAATATTTGCCTTAAAGCAAGAAAAAAAAAAAACAAAGAAAATGGTTCGCCTGTGCAATTGCAAGAATGCACAGAACACAAATTAAAGCTTTATATCTGTGTGGAGAGGTAAGAAATAGATGTAACAGGGTGGCTGCAACTGTCACTGATGTTGTCAATGTTCTCTGAGAACATGGGAACCAAATCACTTTTTCATTTTCTAGCATTTCTGACGAGTGGTACAGTACATATTACTGAGATAAAAAAAAAATCTATATATACAGTCTACAACACCCCCCCCCCCCCAAAGTTTTTATTAAGGTAACTCAATGGTTCCTAGTTAATCTGAGAAATTCTTTTAAAATTGTTTTTACATGCCATCTCCACTCTAACTATAATGGAAGGGAGGTAACTCAATTTCTTTAACGGAATATAAACGTAAACTCCTTGTATATTATCTGAAGAATAAATATGAAAGCTATCTTTACATGTACATGTAGTCTACAAAACTTGTGAATAAAAGGGGACGGGGGAGGTTGGTTGGAATAGTTGGTTGAAGCTGTCACCCCACCCGGATGAAGCTTGAGCTGGATTAAACAAGGACATACCAAATTGATTATTTCTATTTCAAAAATTAAGATACTCAATTGAATCCGCATGACATGTAAGCATTACTCAACAAGACATTTTCTGGCTATAATGTTCATGAAATATCCCCCCCATAACAAAAAAAAAAAACAAAAAACAAAAAACAAAAAACGCTATCTCGTGATCGAACTCTTTCTAAATAATGAAATTATATAACAAGAGAGTTTCTTTTAAGAATTCATCAAAGAAAATTTGTTACGGAATTCAAGAAAGCAGTTTTCTTTCCAATTTCATTTAAATGTTTTATTCAAATTTTACACAATGATATTGATTTATAATATTAATAATTGTAACTATAGACAGCCCAGGGTTTTTTGGCTGTACTCTGTTACCCCTTTATGTCTAAATCTATCGTACATCTGCATGTAAACTTTTTTACCATGAACTTGTAATTTTTGTAGACTTTATGAATTCCTCTACAGTAGAAAAGACTCAATCACTACAAAATATTGAATCAATTCAGTTCAGATGCATCTTTATCCCAAACTGAAAGATCTTTCAGATGTTCATTTCCTGGCTTCAAAAAATCCCCAAATACACATGCGCGGACAAGTCCGGAAGTAGCTGCGTATGGGTCGACAGAGGAGGGTGGTCTTCTGTCCTCCATGTAGCCCCGCCCCTCGGCCGCCACCAGGGGCGGGATCCTGATCGTAGTGAACACTTTATTTTCCCCGTCCACCACGAAGTCGTCCTGCCGGGGGTGCCAGTGCCCTGACTTGTTTGCGAGTCTCTCCGAGTTGTCTTTCTCCAGAGTTTGGTCGTAAAGTTGTAATAGCGGCAAAGGGTCAGATTTGGATAATACTTCAATTGCATGGTTTATAAATCTGGAATCAGATTAAAACATTCACTGAGTTACCTACATTTTCATTAAATAAGATTCAAACTTCGGTCCATTATATCACATAGTGAATAACTAAAACTTGAATTTGTCTTATGGGAAGACCGACATTGTTGCCTGACGTCACGGCGTCAGGCTGTATAAGGATTGATATTTTCATAATCCGAAACTAATAGATCATACCTAGAGAGCTATATTTTGTGCAATCTGATTCACATCGGAATTCTTTATCTGCATTTTTAGAAAAAAACAGTTTTCAGAAAAAAAGAGTAAAATTACTGATGCAAAATACTGCAGTGTTTACTT